CCGGTGCTGTTTGCCACGACAATCTTCGAGAACATCGCTATGGGGGGAGACAACGTGACTCGTGAAGAAGCTATCGAGGCTTGCAAGTTGTCGAACGCACACAACTTCATCATGTCACTACCGGAGAACTACGATACACTGGTCGGTGAGAAGGGTGTGTCTCTGTCTGGAGGTCAGAAGCAACGTGTTGCTATTGCACGGGCTATCGTACGTAAGCCGAACATCTTGGTGCTGGATGAAGCTACGAGTGCTCTGGACAATGAAAGTGAGAAGATCGTTCAGGCTGCTTTGAACAACCTGATGGCTACAACGAACATGACGACGCTGGTGATCGCTCATCGACTGAGTACAATTCGTAATGCTGACAAGATCGTTGTATTGAACGAGGGTCACATTGTGGAGAGCGGCACTCACGATGAACTGCTGCAGATTGAGCACGGCATTTACCAGAACATGTACCGTATCCAGGAGTTACGTTCACAAGAGGAACAACAGGAAGCTGAGCGACGGGAGGCTGAAACCAAACTTGAAAAAACGAAGCTGTCGCGAACTTTGAGTGGAGTCTCGACAAAGACGGATATCTCTGTGAGCGGCGTAGAGAAGAACTTTTTGGACAAGAAACCATTCGGCCTGATGGACATGCTGAAGCTCAACAAGATGGAAGTCAATTATTTTATCATCGGACTGATCGGCACGTGTGTGGCTGGTATCTCTATGCCAGCGTCTGCACTTCTAGTTACGGGGATGATCACGTCCATGACAGAGCAATACGGACAATACCAGAGCTCCGGCGACAGCTCTCACTTGACTACGATGTACAACGACGTGGAATTGTATGGCATTTTGTACCTCGTGGGCGCTGCGGTTGTCGCGATCTTCACATTCATGCAGGTTTACTGCTTTAAGTTCATGGAGGAGAAGATCACCACACGGCTACGTAACACGAATTTCGAGGGTTTATGCCGTCAAAATGTCGGCTTCTTCGACGAAAAGGAGAACGCGACGGGTGCGTTGACTGCTGACCTGGCCACAAACCCCACCAAGGTGTCGCTATTGTCTGGAGAATCGCAGTCTCGGGCCTTTCAGGCTGTCTTTACTTTGATTGCAGCTCTGGTGATCTCGTTTGGTTTCGGTAGTTGGCTGTTGTCCCTGATCATGCTGGCTCTGCTTCCATTCCTGCTCTTTGGACATATCGTGCGTATGAAGCAGATGGAGAGCAGTGGTTTGATCTCCGATGACTTGGCTATCCCCGGTGCCCATGCGTCAGAAGTTCTCAGTAACATCCGCACGGTAGCTGCTCTTGGCATTGAGAAGAAGTCGGTGGATGTCTTTGATGAACTCCTAGCAGAGCCACTTCGTAAGGGCAGCAAGGAAGCTCAGGTGAACGGGCTATCACTTGGCTTTAGCTCCTTTATCATGATGGCTACATATGCACTCATCTTCTGGTATGGCGCCAAGAAGATCGACGATGGATCGATTGGATTCACGGAGATGATGCGAACGTTGATGGCCATCACGATGTCCATTCAGATTGTTAGCAGTGCTTCCACCTTCCTCGGTGACGCCCCCAAGGCGTTCAAAGCTGGCTCCACTATCTTCGCGATTCGAGACCGTATCGCCCCCATCGACTCGTTTAGTCCGGATGGTCTCCGTTTGGCTAAGGTCGAGGGTCGTCTTGAGTTCAGAGATATCTCGTTCAGATACCCTACTCGTCCTGAGATCAACGTGCTTAAGCACTACAATCTCACTATTGAGGCTGGTCAGACCGTCGCCTTCTGTGGCCCCAGTGGTGGTGGCAAGAGCACTATCATCTCGCTCATCGAGCGCTTCTACGACCCCGTGGCTGGTGAGGTGTTACTGGACGGCCACAACATCAAGGACCTGAACCTGGGTTGGCTGCGTAGTCAGATTGGTCTGGTGGGTCAGGAGCCCACGCTGTTCATCGGAACCATCGCTGAGAACATCTCGTACGGCTTGGCAGAGCAGCCGAGTCAGCAACAGATCGAGGAAGCTGCCAAGATGGCCAACGCGCACGATTTCATCACGCAGTTCCCGGACGGCTACGACACTCAGGTGGGTATGAAGGGTGAGCAGTTGTCGGGAGGCCAGAAGCAGCGTATTGCCATTGCTCGAGCTATTCTGAAGAATCCGGACATCTTGCTACTGGATGAAGCCACGAGTGCTCTGGACTCGGAGAGCGAGAAGGTGGTGCAGGAGGCTCTGGATAAAGTGATGGCGTTGAAGCGACGGACCACCATCGTCATTGC